GATGAAGTCCAGCCTGGTCCAGGGAGCTGTCGGCCCGGTGAGGCGAGGGGAGCAGCTTCCCATGGCTGAGTGGCCTCAGTGCAGCTTGGCGTGCACAGGGTAGAGTAAGGTCATGTGCTCCGCCCCTTTGAAAGGCAGCTTCTCATTGGAGTAATAGTGTACCACTTCAGGGATGCTGTCAAACACGGCGCTCGTCTGGTTCAGCGTGTACTTGCTGTCTTTGGTCTGAGCCACGATGATGTGCACACACCCTTGGCTGGTCCTGCATGCAAACACACGGGGAGGAGATGTGAAGGAGTGAGCCTCACAAGGCGCCGGGGGCTCTCAGCCCTCCCCTGGTCGTTTTCCACAGACAATGCACCAGACACCTCGGCGGAGCTCAGCGGTCCCCCCACCCACTGCCACCCATTTGGACCCACGGAGGCCCTGGATAGAGTCTCTGAAGATGAAACATATGCACAACTTTAAATTTATTAATATTTATTTCACAGCATTGTTGCCGTTGGCTTTGCCCGTGTGCCCTGGAAGCCAAGGCTGATTTCTCAGACACATCTCATACCACCAGACCTGCTCGTGGAAGTGGCTGCTGGAACACAGCATCGACTGGTACTCCCATGGGCAGATTTTGTAGCACTGTGCCAAGAACGTGAACCTTTATGGGAGCAGACAGCCTCACCGTCCTCCCAAGGACTGTCTGGTGGGCTTGAACCGCTGGCCTTGAGGTTAGCAGCCCAACACCCTAACCCACAGGGACCGCTGGGCTCCTTAGAAGTGTCACAGTCCTTGGTTAGCTGTGTTTCCTCCTTGAATTGCTTATCTTGACCAAGAAGAAAGCCAACCAACAAACCAAAAGGAAGTCCCTGCTTGCTCTCAAAAGGCCCAAGTAGTGCTTAACTGGGACAGGTTTAAACGCACCGTCCTCCCACGGCTACAAGGACCCAGGGAAGACCTCCTCCTCCGCCTTCTCTCTAATCAGTGCCTTCTCTATCTGGGACGTACTAACCACAGTGACTGGAAAGGTCAGCTGAGAAGCTTCAGGGGCGGTGCATTTATGTCAATCGGGGAAGACCACTGCGGAAATGGATTCCCAGAATGGCAGTGATCAATGCCATTGAACCGAACAGAGCGACACTGTTGAACTGGTGCACGTTTGGGTGAGTCATCCCTTCTCAGCCCTTTGGCTAAGATCAAGTGTAGATTTGCTGAGTCTCTTCCCCACCCCCACCCCCCAAATAACTCAAACGTCAAGAAGAGAACACATAAAAACAGTGCGCACCAACAGCTTCCCCCAGATCTGGAGTGGAGGCTCCTGGCAGTGTATGCCGACAGCTGGCCCCAGAGGCTCCGAGGTCTAGCCCACCGGCAGCAGTTTCAGAAACAGCAAAGCGATTCCTGCTATTGTGTATCTGGTGGCCTAGCCTGTTTTATGCGGCCACAGTGCTTGCCCGTCCCCCCCCTCCCCTCTTTCCCCTTCCAGTCTGATTGTTTCAGCTGCAGGGGCTCAGCTTCCTGAGGAAGGAAATGCTGCGAGGGCTCTTGACAATGATCCTCCAATATAGCACCGCTCCACTCGGAGCAGCCCGAATTTCCATGATCCAAATGCCACAGGGCCGCCGGCAGACACGGCTTCTCTGTGCCCAGTGCAGGGGGGCGGGGGAGGGCGTGAGAGGCATCAGGACTACAACTGGCATTTTGACACACAAGGGGCCCGGCTCCGTGAAGTCCACAAGGCTTGATGAGCTATCCTGTAGAAATTATCCTAAAGCTGAAGTGATTTCTTTACTGAGAGGGGCTGCTGTTGGCTCAGCTAATATGGAGTGAAAATGGACTTCCAACAGACAAAGCAACCAACCCACCCCAAACTCCCCGCCTTCAAGTATTCTAATGCACAGCCCCCTGACAGGACAGAGGAGATCTGTCCCAGTGGGTTTCCAAGGCGAGACATCTTTACAGCAGGAGAAAGCCTCCTCTTCTCCCTGATGGTGTTTTTGAACCGTCGACTTGGCAATTAGCAGCCCAGTGTATAACCCACTACACCACCGGGGCTCCTGGAGAGGTCCTCAAGCTCCCCAAACTCAAACCCACTCCCATCGAGTCGACTCCGAGTCACAGTGATCTACAGGGCGGGGTAGAACTGTCCCGGCACGTCCGGGTTTTCCCAGCCGAAGCATCCACAGGAGCCGCTGGCCAGTCCTCTTTGTGGTCCTCCTCACACACACTCCTGGACGCAGAGTCCTTCCCACTCAGTGACCCTACAAGGAGGAGGGGGGCTGTTCAGAGAGCCCCCAAGGCTGTCAATCTTCTGGGAAGCAGACCGGCACAGCTTTCTCATGCAGAGCAAGTAGCGGGTGGCTTCAGCGGCTGAGCTCTTGGCGAGCAGCCAAGTGCTAAACCACGGTGCCACCAGGGCTCCCATCTTGCTCCTCAAATCACTGCCATCGGTGGATTCCAACTCACGGCAACCCTGTAGGACAGGGGACAACTTCCCTTGTGGGCGCGGCTGGCGGTTTCGAGCAACTGAGAATCATGACAAGGGCTGATGTGCATGCCGTCAGCAGCTGCATGCAGACAGGGAAGGCCCTGGGCCATCAGCAGCTGCACGCAGACAGGGAAGGCCCTGGGCCATCAGCAGCTGCACGCAGACAGGGAAGGCCCGGGGCTGCAATACTTACTTGAGGGCAATGGAGTACCTGCTGTTGCCCGACTCGCTGTTGCGGACGAGGTAACCTGCTTCTCTGCAGGGTTGTAGCAGAGTCTCAGCCTCTGCCCGCGTGATAGCACCATGGTACCAACTGAAAAACAGGGGTGGTGGGGGCGTGCAGGAGTGTCAACACACGTCAGCTCAGGGTGGGTACGATCTGCGAATACGCTATCAAGAACAGGACTCAAAAGGAGCAGAACCCGACCCCCACCCCGTTACCATGGGCGAAGGGGAAAGCGTGGCTGCGTCGGGGGCGTGGAGTGCATGGGAACGCTGGCGATGTCATTTGGAACAGGCTCTCCAGAGTGGTTGTGTAACACGGGAGTGCCCTCGGTAGCATGAAGTGTTTATGTAGGCGTGGTGGAATGGCAGAATGTTCTGGTGAGGATATTTTGGCCATGATTAGAAAGAAAATTCCATGAACAACAGTGAGAACCAGGGAGAAGACAGCGCTCTAGCCCCGATTGTGCGGACAGTTGCAAGCCTTCTCGAGACGATTGAAAATCGAGCTGGATGACGCGTGGATGAACTGCTAACAAAACTGTTTCAGAAAACCCTGTCGCTTGTTGGCCTTCTGGCTGAGATCAAAACAAAATAAACCCAAAACATGGACACTCGGTGGGCACTCCGCAGCCTGAGCCAGATGCGGCTTCCTACCCAGAAAGGCCCAAACCGGGACCTAGGCGACGCAGGTCTCCGAGCCCCTACCTCTGTGGCCGAGCACTAGCGGGGTGGTGCCCCTGTGAGCGGTTTCACGGTACGGGAGCATGTGTCTGAAAACACAGGCACTGGGCTTCGGAGATGGGCTTTCCGCACCGAGAAGAGAGGCATGTCCCTGTATGTCCCCTCTAACTCCCAGACCCGGGAATTCCCATTTGGGAATCCGGTTTCTTGGTTGATGTTAATGAGGCCAGATCAGTGAAGGGCATATCCTGAACACGAACCTAAACTTCTGAGAAACAGAAGGGAGGGATGCATATGGGGGGGCGCGTGGGGGCGTGGGCGGAGTTAGTGGGTGGAGAGAGTAGCTGTGTGTGGGTGGAGTTCACCAGGAATGGAGAGTTGGGGGCCACGGAAGCGGAACGAGACCAGGGTTTCCTGCCAGGGCAGGTAGAGTGCCACTGTGCCCCGAATTCACAGACGTCTAGCCACCCAACCCCCACCCAACCCCCCAAGCAAACTCATTGCCATCGAGTTGATGCTGATTAGCAGTGGCACTGTAGGACAGGGTAGAACTGGCCTGTGGGTTTCCGAGACTAACTAACTCGTCATGCGTGAACACACCTGGTCCTTTTCCCGTAGGGCAGCTGGTTTCAAACTGCCGACTGATTTTGCCGGGTTAGTAGCCCAGCGAGGACCAGTATGCCCCAGAACCACCACCACCCCCCGCCCCCCACCATGTCTAACCTCCCAAGCTGTAGGAAAACAACGGTGTGGGTGAAAACCACCCTCTTTTTGTTACCCAGAGCTGAGGTAGTACGCATGAGCAAAGACAACCTGGTCAAATGGTCCCCTGTGCTGTGGCTCTGCTCCCCCCACCCCTGTCCTCCAAGGCTGTCAATACACTCCCAACCAGAGTGTGTCCCAGTGCAGAGGGGAGACTCACGGCTGCTTCTCCAGGGGCAGGGCTGGGTCCACTCTCTCCCCCTCGCTGTGGTCGGACAGGGTTGGCTTCAGGATCTTCTGGGTCCAGCTCTTCTGCCGGTGGTGTTGCTGCCTTCCCGTCTCCTCCCTGGCAGAAGGTCGCTCGGATCCTTCGAACTGGGCTGGACGGAAGGCTCCATTTAGCACCGGAGCCCACTGCAGGGATCCATGCACGCCTCCAGGAAAACCCTTCCTGGCTGGCCCTGGCTCGAGAAAGCAGCTCTCTCCGCTTTAGTGAAAACTATATATAAAGCACGCTGTCAGAGCTGAGCCTCCTGCTGGCTTCAAGATCTAATCATGCCGCGAGCATCCCACGTACAGCCACGTTTGCTGGGAGATATTCATCAGTACCAAACAGTTTTAGAGTATGAGAGGAAACCACTTTAATACGTTTCAGCAGGTACTCTTTATAAACTCCTCGTGTTTTATGTTTTTAGAACCAAATAAGAAACACAGTGACAGGCAGCGATTCCTAGCAGGAGTGGCTATCGACCCCGTGAAATCAGTTGAGCAGCTCTTACTAGGAAATCATAAAACAAAAAGGGAAATCAACAAAGAAACGACTGAATCGCGCTACGAGAGCAAGGCTGGATCAAAAACCGAGGGGTAAAGTGAGCAAGGCCCAGCACACTCAAAAAGCCAAATTCACTGCCATCCGGTGGACGCCGACTCTTAGCGACCCTCCAGGACTGGGTGGAACTACCCCTGTGGGTTTCTGGGACTTCTTACTTTATGAGGTGGGAAGCCTGGTCTTTCTCCCTCGGAATGGCTGCTGGTTCCCTACTGCTGGCCTTCCTGTTAGCAGCCTAACACATGGCCCACTCCGCAAAAGACAGACATTTGTTGGGAAACAAATGCAAAACCCTCAGATAGGGTCTCAAGTTGACGATGACATTTGCTGTCCGATATAATCATCTAAAACCTCATCAGTTGCCATGCAGTGCCTTCAATGTCAGGGCAGCCCCACGTGTGTCAGAGCTGACCAGCGCCCCGCCAGGTTTTTCAAGGGCCGGCTAGCCATTGGTGAACTCACCCCCCCCAAGCTCCCAGCACACTCAGCATTTGCACTAGCACACCTTCTCTCCTGCAATCCTGCACGTGGACTGTACTTGAAAACAGCTAGCTTGGCTTTACTGCTGGAGGGGAGAAATATCCCTGATATTTTAATCACAAAGAAAAGAAATTATGCAGAAAGCCAAGCAGAGAAACTCGGTCCTGGGGGAAGAAGGAAGCAAAGAAATAATTCTAATAGCTATTGACAACCTATTAGAAGAACCGAGTCAGGACTTTTCACACACACAACGGGAAAAAAGCTAGCTTCATCCAGTTTTCCAACAGCTTCCACTTGTAATCCATCTCACTGAGATTAGAAAAAACAGAGTTGAGAAGTCGCATCAGGGAAGAGTTAGCCAAGGCTGCTGCTGGTCCCATAGGGTCAGTGGTGGGGCAGCAAGATGTACAGCGATCAGGTAAGCACACAGAACGATGAGAGCCGCCATGAAAGGCATTTCCAGGGCAGTAGCACAACACAGAGAGACAGGAAAATCAAGGTGCCCCAAAGGACTATAAATAAATACATAAATAAATGAATGAGTGCAGCATGACAGAGCTCGATCCCCACTCCAAGCCAATCTATGGGGCAGAACAGACAGAGCGGCCCGATGTTTCTGGGCTGGGGACCTTCCCAAGAGCAGAGAACAAACACCCCCCCAGCCCCCCCCAAGGCCTGACTGATAACTTGTTATGGACTTGGCATGGCTTTGTCCAATAGAGCAGTCGCTAGCCACACGTGGCTATTCGAATTTAAATGACAATGAGCTATCATAAACTGAATTCGATTCCTCAGTCCCTACCTGTAGCTAGTACCCACCATGTTGGACAGGGCACGTACAGCACAGTCTATTAGACCATCGGGGCAGCTCGTAGGGGTAGCGACCTTGCAGGGCAAGTAGAACTGACCCTGCGGGTGGGTTTCCCGGGCGGTAACGCTTCACGGGGTGGAGAGCCTCCTGTCTCCCGCAGAGCGAGCTGCCAGTGGCTTCCAAGCGTTGGCGCTGCGGTCGGCGCGCAGCCCCGTGCCCCCTGGGTGCCCGCGCCCCGCGCCGCGCGCTCACCTGACAGCGCGCGCACGATCTGCTCCTTCTTCCACTCCCACGGCTGCTCGTACTCGGCCGCCGGCCGCTCGTCGTTCTCGGGCAGCCGGCCGTCCCCGGGCCGCGCCTTCCGCTCGGGGCCCGCTTCGGCGGCCGGCGGCTCGTAGGGCGTGTCGTACAGCTGGGGCGGCTTCCCCAGGAGCTCCTTGGGGTTCGCTCTGGGCGCCTCGGGTTTCGGGCTGCTGTCCGCGGGCTCGCAGGGGCTGTCGAGCAGCTGCAGCGCCTTCACCAGGGGGTCTTTGGAGCCCCGCCGTCTGATTTCTGGAAGCACAGAGGGAGCCCCGTGAGTCACCGCAGCACCACCCGCTGCGGGGCTGGTGGCCCGGCAGATCACCCCAAGGCTGACCCCAATGGGCTGTGCTCAGGTTGCACGAGCCAGATAATGCAGCGGAGGCAGGCTGCTGGGGGTTACATCGGGAGGGAGACAGGTGTCTCCAGGGTGCCCTTAGGGCTTTGTAAGGTGCAGTGTAAAATCTGACCTCAGGGGACCTGCCTCCCACTGCCTGGTGGGAGGGAATCTATTTTCACCTTCAACATTTTATTTATTTTTTGCATCTTGTTACGAAGCAAATAATCAATGTTAGCAAACCTAGGCTGAGTGTTTGCAGCGTTCAAAGGCTTGGGCACCGTAAACCAGCAGTTCTCAACCTGTGGGTCTCGACCCCTTCGGGGGTCGAACGACCCTTTCACCCGGGTCGCTCGATTCATAACAGTAGCAAAATCACAGTGAAGTAGCAACGAAAATAATGTGATGGTTGGGGGTCACCACAACATGAAGAACTATAATAAAGGGTCGTGACATGAGGAAGGTGGAGAACCACTGTGGTAAACAGGGGAGATCTATGTACATACGTGCGTCAGATCTGACTCTTAATGACCTCATCCATGCATGGCAGAGGGAAACTTCCACAGGGTCTCTCAGAAGTAGGGCACTCAGTGTGCCCTCCTCAGTGCCTCCCCCAAACAAACAAACCCTACCTTTGAGTCGATGCCGACTCATAGAACGGGGTAGAACACCCCTGTTTCTCAGACTGGAACTCTTCACGGGAGTGGAAAGCCCCATCTTTCTCCAGCAGTGGCTTCCAACTTCCAACCTTGCTGTGCAAAGTCCGACCCGTGACCGCTAGTCACCAGGGTTCCTCTGGGTGCTTCTGGACAGACTAAAACTGCCAACCTTTCTGTTACAGCCAAGCCCATTCACTGTTTGCAACACAGGGTGGGGGCAGGGGGACTTCTCCCAGTCTCACGTCAGAGTTAATACTGTGTGTGCATGCGTGCTCAGGTGCGCAGGGGGAGTTAATACTGTGTGTGGTGTGCGCAGGGGGAGGTCAGACGCATTTACAACTATAGCACAGGCTCACCAATGCAGGTAATGCGAAGTAAAAGTGGTGTTGGGTGCGAAGGAGGTCCCGGCAATAACAATAACAAGACAGCTAACACTCCTCAATGACTTACTGTGGTCAGCACTATCCTAAGTGCTTCTTCATTGTCACAAGCATCCTATGAAAGCAACTACCTGAGGCACAAAGTTCAAAGAAGTCGCCCAAACCAGTAAGTGCTGAAGGCTGGGTTCAAAAGCAGGAAGTCGGGCTTTAGAAACCACTCTTCACAACCGCACTTGGATGGGCTCCAAGTACCAGAGAAGTGGAAGGTGAGTGGATGCGGACAGGAAAGGTCGTTTCCAGGGGAGGAAGCTGCCTGAGCAAAGATATGGAGGTGGGGATGCTGCAGAGCTGGTTCCCAGGAGGGCGAGTGGAGAGATAAGAGGAAAGGGCAGGAGGGCAGGAAAGGAAAGAGGTAGTGGTACAAGTGGGGAACGCAGGCCGGCCAGGCACCCAAAGGCAAAAGTTTTCAAAGGCAAGGATACAAAGTTGAGATGATTCTAAATGCCACGAACCACTGAAAATCGTCAAACCAACCAACCGAACAAACAAAACACCAAACTCACTGTCATGGACTCAATTCTCCCGACAGGCAATAAGGATTATATCTGCGTTTCCATGAAAACAGTAGTGTGAGATAAGTCAGGAAAGTTTTGTCTGAACTGAGACACAGAAATGGATGCTGCAGAAAGCTGGATGCGCGTCAACCAACCACCAATGAACCAGCCCGTCCGTGGGAAGGAAACCGAATCGGCACTGGGTTTACCAGCGTTTGGTCCAGAGGCCTTGGCAGCGTCAATTAAAGACGGCTCGGTCGAGACCAGCAGACCAGCAATGGAGCAGAATTCCAAACCACCATGTCCGTATTAGGACGCTTCCTCTTGCTTATAGGCATGGAAGACTCTGCTCAACCCCAACAGCTGGTCTGATCATGGAATACCTCCTCTCATAAGTGGTAGACGACGTGCAAGGTGCTCGGCATACATAGCATGACCAGTCCTTCTCCAATGTCTCCTCTGAACGCCACCCAGCCCCTCCCAGCAGCTCCAACTCAGCGGAGCGACTCTGACACGCGCTCTTCCGATGCCCACTGGTCTCCTGCTGTTGACCTTCTAATGCTTTCCCATCGGAGCCAGCACCTTCTTCTTTCTGGAGAAGCCTTTCCGGTCTACCTTCTCCTCTGCCGACCCACAGAAGTGACCACCATCACCCGTCTCCCCTTGGTGGTGGTGTGATGATTCCTATTGCTCTCGCTGTACCGTCGGGTTGACCTCTCTGTGTTTCCGGTTTGACAGCGACTCAGCCCAGGCAGGGCCTACCATGTTTTGCCTATCTCTAGGTCATAGTTGTGTTAAATTAGCGATTGGAGGGTTGGATGGATGGGTGGATGGATGGATGGGTGGATGGATGGATGGATGGATGGATGGATGAATGGAGGAGAAGGGGAGGAGCTCTGGAATTCTCCAGGCAGGCGACAATGTGGCTCTGGCGCTCAGCAGGGAGATGAAGGCCAGAGGGACAGATCAAGGAGTTATTCACAAACGGATGGTCTTCGGTACTGGGGGACGAAGCCAATCACCACAGACAGGGTCAGAATGCAATGGAAAGAGCAGCAGAGGCATTAGCTGGGGGCAGACTGAAGAAGAGGTTCCAGCAAAGACGATGGAGGTGTGGTCAGGTGAGTGGGGAGAGGAGCAAAGACTGCAGGGCCTGGGAACAAAGGAAGGACAGGCTTTCTACAGCGGACATGGGGACACCTGATGGAGAAGAATCCCCGACTCCCTGAGACCTCTACGACAAGACAAGAATGACCAGGGAGCACTCAGGAAACACGTTACTGCAACCGGGAGACTAAATTCAAACAGCAGTACAGTCATTGATAAGGTGAGACCACAGCTGTCTGGAGTGGGCTTCCATCCTGTCTACTGTATTCTCTACCGGGGTTCCCAGCGGGGTCTCCCAGGGAACTTACAAAATAAGGATGCCTGGGTTCTGATGGTGCAGCCTGATACTAATGAACAACTAAGAGAGAACCTTCTAGCCCTCCCGAGGGCCCACTGTCCCCGCCTCAGTTTCCCTTGCTCTCCAGAGCTAATCTTGTCATTGCTACCGGACCCCGAGGAGAAGGGACTCCTGGAATGGGAACCATCTAAGACAGCAAGTGAGAGCCAGAAGAAGGGCCACTAGTCCCCCCCGGCCCCCATCCGCCTGCCCTGGAGAGGCACCCAGGGTGCTCTGAGGTCACACAAGGAGTGGGTGACTTCCAACCGTCCAGCCCTGTTTTCTGCCTTGCCTATTCTAGATGGCGATACGGAGAACAAGAAACAAACACATACTCTGCTCTGGGTTCAATTAAGATAAGAGTGGGATTTTTAAAGAACTACGGGAAAAAAAAAAAAAAAAAAAGAAACAGAACACAAAAGAATCCTAAGGACCAATTTAGAATTTTGAGGTTTCTGATTAAATCTTCAATTTACCCTCAGCTCAGACTCTGTGGCACGGGCCCCAAAATCTTTCCTTTAACCTCTCACCTCCATTGTGTCCCAGCTGGGAGAAAAAGAGTTTGTTCCAACTTTAGGAGTCCTGGTGGGGCAGTGGTTATGTTCTGGGCTGTGATCCGTATGGTCAGCAGTTGGAAACCACCGTCAGCTCCTCAGGAGAAAGCCTGGACTTTCTACTCCCGCCAACAGTCCCAGTCTTGGAAACCCCAGCGGGCGCCCTGAGTCAACTAGCAACGAGGAGACGGCAGCCAGTATTCCAACTTTCAGACGGGAGTCTTGCTCCTGAGGAGATGCCCCAACAGGTGCTGACACGACGTACCGCTAGGAGATCTTTTTGCATGTGCGTCTGCATTTTTTGCTTTTGAGTGAGATCTATTTCTTCTCCCTGGACAGGAGTCCTGTGCACTCCTTCTGGGAGGAACATGGAAAGACAGCCCACTGCGAATGTCTTTGGTTCCAGGAGTGGCCAAAAGATCTGGGGACACAATGTTGAAGGGCTCAACTGCTAACTGAAAGGCTGGGAGTTCAAGCCCATGCTGTAGCCTATGGTAGAAAGACAGTGTGATTCTGTGGAGATGGCAGTATGTCTGCACAGAACATGCCCAGGTGGGTAAAAGTGCATACACACAGAACGTGCGCAGCTTGCCGAGTGAACTCATGGAGGGGGATCTGCCCAAACCGTGTCATGCCTGCGTCATCCTCGCCCATATCCAGTAGAGCCCAGAAAGCCCACTAGGGCAATTCTAGGCTGTCACGTGGGATCATTATGGGTTGAAAGTCAACTTGACAGCAACCAACGACCACAACAAACAATGTTTCATTAAGGGGAAAAAACACCCCTTCAAGCCGAATAGCCTCCCAGTCCGGTCCAACACCTGGCTGCCCCCAACCTGAGGGACGGCAGAAACAGAAACAATCGCGGGGCCGCGAGCCGACCCTTCCTGCAGGGAGAATAGCTCCTGACGTGCAGAGGGAGCTCCAAGAGGAAACGGCCTGAGAAGGAGGAAATGGCAAGAGGAAGCTACACCCTGGCCGCCCATCGAGGCCGTTCACTGTGGCAGATGACAGACTGCAGGGCCCGGGCTGCAGACAAGCGCCCATTTGCAGCAGGGCTAAAGCTGAGCATTGGTTGGCACCCATGGCAATGGGTGACTGGTTGGAGGGGAGCAGAATCCGAGCCCTAAGGTCTCCATGCTCAATTTCTACCCCAGCTGTATGTTATTATGCCATTCACAGGTTAAAATACTGCTGCATAGTAAGACTTTCTCTGACGACATTAATAGTGGCTAACAATGAATAAACAAACCACCCCCCCAAATAAAGACCCAAACTCACTGCCACAGAGTCTGTTTCAACTCATAGTGACCCCACAGGACAG